ACCTATCGGTCACACCAACCATTCCTTCATTATCTGGGGCTCTTTCTTGTCCTTGAGTGGGAAGCTCTTGTTGCAGAGTCAGAGTCCAAGGTCGGGGGAATCAGCCGTTTACCCCAGAACATGTACACGAGATGTGGTGCGGACTTTTTTCCAGTGCCAGACGGGAAGTCACCTCTTCTAATAGACATCTTCAGCCAGCCCCATCCGTATCACACACACGCACACACCTGCACGCTCTGCCTCCTTACCACTTCCTCTGGCTCCGGCACTTTAGCCATCCGTCCATTCTACAAGCACCGACCCGCCTCTGAGACAGTGCACACCGACCCAGGCCCCAGGCCAGTGGTGCTGACCCACAGCCGGCGTGCTGCCGCAGGCACACAGCCCAGGAACCAGCTGAGGCTCCCAGCACCTCCCCAGCACCCACCAGATATCCTGGTTTAGCTGCAGTGTTGGTGCTTTGCAATAAATAAGAGGGCTTTGGGCTGCAGTCTGGGCCCTTGGTTCGCCATCGCTTATCCAGGGAAACCTCGGTTGCTCACGGGCTCACGGTCCACACCCGGTACCTCACTCCCCCTTCTCCACTCCCTGTTTGTCCCTTTCCAGAGTGTCTCTGTTCCCCTGTCATTCTGCTTCCCGAGGTGTGTGCTCTCTAAATGCTGGTTGGGAGGCATTCACCATCCTCCGTACTCGCGGCTTTTCCAAGAGGAGAGCCCTGAGCCTGTTCTCGCCACCTTGAGTGACCCCTACCCCTAAACTTTTGGGCACCCCAGGTCCCACGTCACTCCTTGTTTTTTAAGCAAACACCACAGGAAATAGCTCTCAGCATGAGCCTGGGTTCTTTCCTTTGCTTTCCAGGCTGAGGAACAGAGGAAAGGACAGAACTTGAGAGGGACAGATAGAACTGGGGGACAGGAGCAGAAAGGCGTCCCGTCCCGGCCCCGCATCCCCAGGAGCTCCGGCACCAACGCCAGATGCTCAGTTCCTGCCTCGCCCACTGGAGTTGTTGGGCCAGGGTCAGTGTCTGCGGCGTCTCCAGACCAGCCACGCAGGATGTGCAAGACTCTACCTCGAGGTGAGTGCCCGTGTGCTCAGGGGAGGGGACGGGGGCTGGCTCTGTGCCTGTGTTTTTCCAAATGCTTGGCTTTTTTCAAAATGGCTTAGAGCACTACTGTCATTTATGGGGTTTAAAATGTCAGAACAGGGCCCGCGGGGAGGCAGGGGAGATTAAACTGCAAACAGTGAAGGTTATAGATGACGTTTCTGATAGGCTGACAGGCGAGCTCAAATGATGCTGCACTTTACCAATCATTTAAACACACGCGTGCACACACACCCACACACACACGCACACACCAGTTCATCTCTCCGTATTTTAATGGCATATTCTGAAGGCTAAAAACATAAAAGCTCATGTCTGAAATACCGCAGCTCTGCTTCCAGGGCCTATCCAGCAGCTCTCCGAGGCGCGCGCGCGCGTGTGTGTGTGTGTGTGCATGCACGAGCGTGCACATATTCCCTCAAGTGCACCTTGAGATGCACACATGCTTATTTGTTGTTCTCTTTTTATTTACTGTAAGCAAATTCTTTTTTTGGGGGGTACCAGGTTTATTTACTGTATAGGTTAATTCCACCTCACTTCCATGCAATTCCCTGCCTAATTAATAAAATCGGGTAACTATGTGATGAACAGGACACACCACATCCGACAGTCTACCTGAGCATGACAATCTGTCTAAGCAGGGAGGATTCCAATGCCCATTTCACAGATGTAAAGAAACAGGGTTCTTGAGGCCCGATAGCCCTGGACACCCAGAAAGGCAGTGCTCCGGGACAGAGGCTCTTTCCTCGGGGTGTGCGGCTCCACCTCAGAATCAGCTGCGGAGGGAGCTTCCTAGAGCCCGCTCCTCCCACCTGACCCATGCTTCTGCAGGCAGCGCTGTGGCCCAGGTAGGCTGAGAGTTGCTGCTCCAGGCCCTCCTTCAAGGTCTGTCTCCACACCTGCGTCAAGGAGACTTTTCCAGTTCTCCCGAATCTCTCCCACCCCCCGCTCTCTCCCATGACGCAGAGACTTCAAAGGACCCTGGTCAGCTGGGCTGTGCTCAGGCTGCCAGCAGGTCTTCCCCACTCCACTCGACCTCCGCCATGGGAGACTTTGCTGCCCCACAGAGGAGGGAGGAAACCAGCCGCACCAGCCCCTGGGGCTGGAAGAAGAGGACAGCAGCTGCCCAGCCACAGAGGCCACAGCTGCTGCTAGTGCAGCCTGGCAGGATGAGGGCACCACACAGACCCTGTGGTTCCTGCATGCTGTGAATCCCCATTGCTACTCAGTGAGTCTGGGTTCACTCAGCCTCCCTGAGCCTCAGTTTCCCTATCTTCCAGATGATGACTAGCTTCTGGCCTTGTGCATGTAACCATACTCCCTATCTCTGGTCCACATGGTTGTAAGATCCTCCTCGACTCTCTTCACTGCACCCTTCACCGGCTCTCCGCATTGCCCCCCAACCTAGTTTTCTAAAATGCAAATCACTCCACTCAAAAGCCCTCCGTGGCCCAGCTCTCAAGGTAAAAGCCCGACTCCTGGACTCAGCCCTTTACTGCCTGCTCCTGCCCATGAGCCTTGCTCCCAAAGCGACTCTGCCAGCCTGCCCGTGAGCTCCTGTGCAGCTCTCCCCTGCCCTGAATGCCCCCACCCTGCGCCTGCTCTTAGCCTCACCTGCTCCCTCCCTGGGCCAACCTCCTTGCTGGTGTCCCTGTCACATCACACTCTGCTCTCACTTCTGCCTGCCCTCTGCTGTTTCCCCTCACTGGGACTGCGGTCTCCTGGAAGGCCCAGCCCACGCCTTACTCCTCCTGGAGGAGAGCAGAAAGGAGCAGAGAGAAGAGATAAGACCCAAGACCTGCAGTGATTCACCCACTCCAGCTCCCTTAGCGAAAGTACTTGGGTAAGAATGCTTTAGCTCAAGGCTCTGGGCTTGGATTTAGACTGGACATAAAGGGGAGCATCTTTCCTCCTGCAGCCAAGATACAGAGGCTAAGAGTGAGGGAAGAGACCCAAGTTAGCCTCTGGCCAGATGCTGTGCCCCTAGGTCTCTCCCTGGGTCTGCCTCAGTGGCACAGCTCTCTAGGCCCCAAAGGTGGGAATTCTGAAAAGCATAGCACCAAGGCCCCCTCCTGACTAAGGCAGCAGGGCCTCCTCTCTCTCATGTGAGATCAGGTTGGAATCCACCAGAGTAACCTGCAGAGAGAAACCGAGAGAGCTGAAAGCAAGCAAGCAAACACTTAGCAAAACAAATGGACAGAATGAGGGTGTCTAGTTTTTATTGGTCGCCCCTGCTGCCTACAAGGAGCACAATCAAGAACCACCTTCTATCCAGGCCCGGTGGTGCACGCCTGTGGTCACAGCACCCAGAAGCCTGGGCCAGGAGAATTGTGACTTGGAGGCCAGCCTGGGCTGCATAGCAAGACGCTGTCTCAGAAGTAGGAGAGGGAGAAAGAGAGAGAGTAGGAGAGGGGACAGAGGAAGAGGGAGAACAAAAGGGTCAGGGAGTCGAAGAGCGACTGGGTGGGGGAAGGTCCTGGACACTCCCTGCCTAAGACAGCAGCTTCGGGAGTCACCTTCTCTGAACCGGGGCCGGGGCTGGGCAGTAGTCCTGGTCCCCCACCCTGGGAGGCAGCAGCCAGCACGGTGAGTTCTGACAGCTGGGGAAGTTGAAGGGAGGCCTCATCCCACACAGGAGGAAGGTCAGGCCCCTGTGGAACAGGGCAGCAGGAGACGGGGCGCG